CATTATCCTAGAACAAAGTTATGAGAAAGGTGTTCCTTTTTCCTGTCTTTGCTGAACAACCCTTGTCCTATGTCAATTTCCACATGTAAATAAGACTAGTTTCAGAGGCTCTGCAGTTATTACCACACTGCCTTAGGTTCTATAATTTTATGTCTTTTTTGGTGGGGGGGACCAGGGATCAAACTCAGGTCTTTGTGCTTGCAAGGCAGGCACCAGAACCACTGAGCTGAATCTCGCCCTATAATTTTATAAGTCTTGAGATCCAGAAAAAGAAGGCATTTCATCTTCAGAAGGTCTTGGCAATTTTATATTCTGGCAATTTCAACAAATAATAAAGGTACTCAAATCTTGATTGAGATCATCCTGAGTCTATAAATCAAATTGGCAACAGGTAACATTTTAATTATGTTCATGTATACTGAATACCTCTCCATTTATTCAGCCTTCTTGATTTCTCCTTACTCTTCATCTACACTTAGTATTGTCACTCTTTTTATTGATTTGTTAAGCCTTTCTAGTAGGCTACATTGGCATTTCTCTCGTTACTAGTGGGTACCATTTGGGAAATGTATTGGGCATTTGAATAAGCAAAGGGCATCTATGAATATTATTATTATTATTATATTATTATTATAGCCAATATTATATTTAGGAGTAAAATATTGAATGTTTTCTCACTTAGATCAGAAATAAAGATATCCACTTTCATTATTTCCGTTTAACATTGATCTTAAAGTTTTAGCCACTACAATAAAACAAGAAAAACAACTAAAAATGCATGAGGATTGCAAAGGAAGAAGAAAAACTATCTCTGTGCCTAGGATATATTTACACAGAAAATCCTAAGAAATTTGTAAAACTCACCTTACTTTTGTGAATTTATTTCTCTTTATGCTTGTATATAGGTTTTTGCTTTACATATTCTAAAGCTCATTACTAAATATATACAAATTTAGAATTATTATTTCTTCCTCATAAATTGCAGTGTCTCTGTACTTCTTCTGATTTTTATCTTGATAGATACGGAGTTCACCAGGTATCTCCTTGTTGATGTACATATGCTATAGAGGCACCTTTCCTTCTCTATTTTCTATCTTTCATTGTCCTCAAGTTTTAGTTATGCTTTAAAAAATCATATATGTTGGTCATTCTTGTTTTAAGTAAATAGTTGCTAGGCACCTAGGGTAGTGCTTAAGCTACCTCAATGAATACAACAAAATAAAGCTTTACCCTTAGCAGCCTTTTCAAAATCACAAATTAAGTAGGTAAAATGTAAATGACACCTTAGTGTACATTTCCCAAGACATCAGTCTTCTTCAGAAATATAGTTAGTAATATAATATTGTACTATTTTATATTGTATGATATTTTATATCATTGTTGAAGTTTGGGCCTATTTTATTGTGATTGGATATTTTATATGGATATCATTTACATATGGTAAATTCATCATTTATCTATTTCTAAAGAGTGGTACTGGTGATTGAACCTGGGACTTTTGCACTGAACTACATCTTCAACCCTTTTTTGCTAAGTCGCCCAGGTTGGGCTTGAGTTTGCAGTCCTACATCAGCCTCCCAGAGGTGGGTCACCACACCCAACTAAATCTTTTTCTTTTAATTAATTATTTTTAGTTTTTTTGTTTGGTTTGGTTTGGGTTTTTTTTGTTTGTTTGTTTGAGACAGGGTCTCACTATGTAGTGGAGACCGCCCTGGAACTCACTGTGTAGACCAGGCTGGTCTCAAACTCACAGAGATCCTTCTGCCTCAGCCTCCTGAGTGCTGGGATTACAGGCATGCACCACCATGTCCGGCTTAATTCTTTTTTAGTTTTAACAAGCACATACAGTCATCAATCCACCCCCCGAATCACCATTACCACACAAATAGTTCTTTCATGTTCACACTTAGTCTTTTTCTCTCTCTGTCCCCCACTTTTAGGAGAACATTGTCCTATTTTCTGTCCCAATAATTTTGTCTTTTCATGAATGCCGTATAAATATAATCATGATATTTTGAGTTTAGCTTCTTTCACCAAGCAGCACAGATTTCAGATTCTTTCACATTGTCACAGACATGAGTAGTTCATTCCTTTTTTAATACTAAATAATATTTCACTGTATATATTCCATGGTGCACGTTAAACAGATTTTTTTTTTCCTACTCATCTGTTGAAGTACGTCTGAATTGCTTCTAGTCATGTTTTTGGGGAGGAAGGCTGTTTATGACTAAAACCATTATAAATATTTGACTACAGGATTTTGTAAGAACATGTTTCTCATTTCTCTGAAAGAAGATTGTTTTGTCATATGGTAACTATATTTATACAAGTTCGTGTTAGAAATTATCAAATTTTTTTCTACAGTAGTTGCATTCCCACCAGAAATATATGAGAATTTCATACCTTAGATAATCATATCTTTTGAAATAGTTTATCTATTCCCTTTTTTGGTTCTTTGTTTTTCATTCCTTTTTCTTGCCTTACTGGATTGCCTAGGATCTCCAGTATGGTGTTAAATAGGAGCGGTAAGAGCAAAAATTTTTCTTACATTCTTATTTCTAGGAGGAAAGCATTTTACCCCCCCCCTTTGTTTTTTGGTCAACTTTTAGTACTGTAAAGATAGTGCCTCACTGTTTTCTGACTTGTAGTTTATGGATGAGTAGTTATTCTATGAGGCTTACTTTTTGCAAGTAGCATTTCCTTCCACGACAGCATAATGATAGTTTGTAGCCTTTAAGATTCTTTTTAATCTTCAGTTTTCAGCAGTTTGAGTGTGATGTGCATGAATGTGTCATCATCATCACCATCATCCTCATTATTATTACTCTGCTTGAAGTTCGCTGAAGTTCTAGAATCTATACTTTGATATATTTAATTACTTTTGAAAGATTCCTGGCTACTATCTCTTTAGCTATTTCTTCTGCCACATTTATATTCTCTCTCTCTCTCTCTCTCTCTCTCTCTCTCTCTCTCTCTCCTCTTACCTTTTTCTCTGGGATTCCAATAATAGACTCTTTAGTATTGCCCGACAGGTCTTAGATGTTCTATTCTGGGTTTATCAATCTTCTATCCTTCTGTTTGCGTAATTCCTGCCCCCCTTTTGTCAACCTTACTGACTCTCCCTTTGGCCTTGTTGTCTAATGGTGAACCACTCATCTTTTTTACCATGCTTTTTGTATCTTTCATTTCCATTTGATCCTTTCTGTAGTGTTATTGCATCTACTAAAGTCAAAATGTCAGCATATATCAAAATAATAGGGAATTTTGCTAAACTGTTTTTACGATTTTTCCCCATTATCTTTGTGTTTTAGCAATTTGATATAACTAGATATAAAAAATTAACCTTTGATTTTATTCATATGTTATCTTGATATATTTTACTAAGTATGGGATATTCTTAGTCACAGTCCTTCAATAGTCCTTCAAATATTGCTTCTTGAATAGTCTCTCCTTTGTTCTTTGGAGACTCAGTTTACTTTGACCACTATTTCCCTATACCTCTTCTAATAACTTCTTAAATGATTCATACTCTTGTCTCTGCCTTGATGCTTTCAAACCTCAGGACAACAGTCATTTTCTGAGGAGAAGTCTTCCCAAGCTTCCCTAATTCCATTGTAGCAACTGTATGTCATACCGCAAGAACTTGAGTGTACAAAGTGAGTCATTTTACTTAATTTTCTTTAAGTCATTCGTAAATTTGACTTTGAGATCTTTACTCCCCATGCTATTGAGAATAATACATCCTTCTTTCATTTGTTGTATGAGGCTCAGGAAATTGGTATAAAAATCTGTTACTTAGCTTGGTACCCAACTCTGATACATCTGTCAAGGAGATGGGGATGCTGTGGTCACTCTGATGACCTCATTGTACAAGCTCACATTTTTACTTGAAGGCAGAAGATTCCCAGCCCTCCATTCCAGGCTTGTGCTTGGGAATCAGGCAAGATGGGATCCCCCTGTTCCTTCATGTACAGATCCTGTTACCTGCTGAAACAGCTGCTAGAGGTCTATCTTATGTATGGACCACTGTTCGCTTCTTAGTCTCCAGCATACTTCTCACAGTTCTTCCCTCAGCAAAAAAATTCTGAATGAATTCAGGCTTTTAGAGAAAAGAATCCAGACAGAACTTGCCTCTGAGGTATTCTGGATTTGGCCTTGCATACAAACCATTTTGAGGCAAGAGAAAACAAGCAAATGCCTATCTTCTGAAAGAGGGGATGAGAGAAGAAGACAACAAAAGCAATTCAGGTGTTGATATATCAGTAAATTGTCCAGCCAAAGCTTACATCCCTTGCTAGTTCATTTTAAGATACATATTCCTGTCCTTTAAAGCACCTATCACAATTTCCATTTTAATTTATTGTAGTCTTATACTGTGAATCAATCTTCTGACTTCCAAAATGTAACTTCCCTGATAGCACACACAACTATTTTTTTTTCTTTTTCTTTTTCTTTTTTTTTTTTAATGGTATCAGGGATTGAACAATGGTCCTTGCTCTTGTGAGGCAGGCAGCAGAACCACTGAGCTAAATCCCCAGCCCCCCCTTTCTTTTAACACACAGCTAGTTTTGATTACTAATATGGTTTTAAAAGCTAACATCATATCTGGAAATTATAAACATTCATAAGCCTCTGTTTAATTAAAAGTGAAACATTAAGTAAAGAATATTTCAAATGGGAAGAAAGGAGCTAAAGGTGTAGGGAAGGTGGGATGGGTAGGGGAAGGGTAATAAGGGAAAAGAAAAAAATGTGAGATAATGAAAAGATGGAAATAAAGTGTTTGTAGATAGGGAGGGGAGGAGGGGGTGAAGGGAGGGCTGAGGTAAGGGGAAAAAATGAGAATCAAGACTTGTCATGTAGAGGTACAAGATCCCAACAATGAATGTAACTCTATTGTATCCCTGAAATGTACCAATAAACTCATTAAAGCTGAAAAAAAAGAGAATATTTCACAAGCTCATCAGTAGAATAAAAAATTGCGATGTTTTGCTGTCCTGCAGTTGGCTCCTATATATAATCTGGTTCCTGTGAAAATGAAAGATTCACACCTTAAGAAACAAAATTTGGAAAGAGCCATTAACGACTATGTCAATGAATTCAGTGTAGAAAAATGCCATCCCTGCCAGAATGGAGGCACTGTGGTTCTGCTGGATGGGCAGTGTCTGTGTTCCTGCCCATTCCAATTTGATGGAATGGCCTGTGAAGTCAGTAAGAAGAAAATACCCTAATTAAGGTAAGGATGGTTTGTTTTAATGTTACTGAAGACAAAAATATTCACTTTGTGAAACATGTCAGACTCAAAGGTTAAATATCACATGGTTCTTCTTATATGAGAAAAGCATAATATGTATTTATAAGTAAATGGGAAATAGAAGACAAAAGGAAGTAGGGAGAAGTTGAAATAATTCCCTAAATACCTATTCTGCTGTATCAAAAATATTTTAATATATATGCTAATTCGTTTCAGTTGCACTATTAGTTTCTCCTACTACATCGAGAAGTTCTGTGCTATTATCTGTTTGTTTCTTCTTTGTAAGAGAGAATCTTTTTGTATCTGAGTAACTACTTTAAAGATAATAATACAGTGCACTATTATTATTCTCTTATTATTTTATTACAAATTTTGTTTCATATTTTCATAAACTAAAAAAAAAAATCCACTGCCAGGCGCTGCTACATACCTGAAATACTCATATTCTGAAAAAATAAATATTCAGTTTGGGTTATTTAGTTTGAAAACTAGCACTTCATGTGGTATTTTAATATCTTCTCTCTATATATATTTCAAATAACTATAAATACATAATAAAGTTTAAAGACATTTAACAAATATCCACATAGAATTCGACAATCACCATCCAGAATTAACAAGTGGTAAATACGCTTATTTCATATATACTTCACATATGTATTTTTATACTGTGTGTATATATGTGCATGCATATTTATATGCACATAGCCTAGATATGGCATGTATACTACAGAGATATTTTTAAAGAAAAGCAGTGAGTTCAGTAATTGATACCGCACACCCCTAACACAGCCTATTGCCTGTCTTCTCTCCTACTATTTAGATGCAATCATTTTCAATAAAATCAGTTTCATTTGAAGTTATGATATATATCCTTCCAGTCCATATTTGTTCTTGTACTAAATATATATGTACCAATAAAAGTATTTTATATTGTTTTGCATGTTTTGAAATCTTCTGTACATGGTCTTTATGTAGATTTTTCATTTTTAGCTTTACTAGTGCTAAAAAACAAATTCTGTATTGTACATAAAATTAGCTTTCTAGAATAGTATTTTTTTACTTTTTATAAAGTATAATGGGGTTAACTATGTTTCCAACATAAGAGGATACTGCAAATCTTTCATTCCGACACAACTAATTAGAATCCTAGTAAATCAGCAAAATCTTAGTCCAAGGGTTAATAATCATCACAAAATTAGCTGCTAAAATTAACTTTCTACAGCAGTCATAGTTCACATTGTTTGATTGAACCAACACAGATTCTTAGAATGAAATTTCTAAGACAATTACATATAGTTTACTGAAACAGAACTTTAGCCTCAAATTTATCATTCAACTATGGTTTCATCTCTTGAGATTGAAATCCCTAACACATCATCTTTCTTTTTCCATGCTTTACTTATCCTGGGATGATTCCAGCTTTCTCCTCTCTTGGTTAATCCTATTTTGCTCTCCTCCCTTGTCTTTCTACTTGTTTTAGACTAATGTTTCTTAAACTGATGCTTATTATTATTTACCTGCTTAGCTTCTTAAAAAGTTAAAAAGGTAAACACAGAATAAAACATATCTGTCACAAGACAAACCAGAACCTTTTTGGTGGGGCCTGCTTCTGGCACGGTTTGTTTTTGTTTTGGGTTTGTTTTCTTTCTTTCTTTTTAATCCACCAGTTATTCTAAACTACAACCAGGGTAGAAAACCTCTGTCTTGAACCTAGACCAATTAGCATCTCTGATGGGAACTTCTCCAATTTCTGCAGGAATCAGTTCTCTGGTTACACTTCCTGAACACCTTGCTGTCTGCTGTTCCAACGCTCAATATATTAACTTTCCCTTCACAAAATAAATAGCTCCTCTGGTTTGGAGCTGTGCCTTATACATCATTCTGGTCCCAGCACCTAGAAAGTATGGCACGTCTTGGTGCAACAGGATAAGGATATAATCATAGATGGGTGAGTGGACCCAACTCCAAGGCCTATTAATCATTAAGATTTGATTCCTTTTTGTTTGTTTGTTTGTTTTCTCTAGGATTACCAGTCCCTTTCCCTGCTCATAATAAAGTAGAGCTGTTGGTTTCCCTGGACTCATATGGAACAAAAAATTGCCTTGACTTCCACATTTAAAATCCTGCCTCTGGAGATAGTCCTCACTGCCAAGTACAATGCAACATGCTTCATGAAAATCCTGCCAACCTCTGGAGTCTCTTCTCTCTTAGGTCTACAATTCTCCCACCCTCCCATATAATGTTTCCATTCTTTATTTCCTCATGAAGAGTCAGCAGTTAAATATCCCAGCACTGCTTTTTCCCACAGGCAATGCCAATCCCTTGCTAATAAAACAAAATTAAATTAAAAACAAAATGTTGGTTTAAAAGACTTTAAAGTTACTGCCAAACTGCTTTGTGTGATTAATATATTCCTCCAGTTCCATTACCACAAGGCTGTACCATGCAATTTAGTTCTTATTTACATAGTTGTTTGGTTTGGTTATTCATTTGTGTGTGTATACATTCATTTAGCAAATAACTCACTGAACACCTACCACATGCCCAGCATTCTTATTAACCTTAGCTCTCCAATTTAATTCTACGTGTACGAGGAAGAAAATGTCTGCATTTGTAACCAAAAAGTATTAGGTTAAATCTTGTGAAATTGCCTTTATTTTACAAAACAAAACAACCCAACCTCCCCCCAGCAATATCATACACTCAAATTTGATACCTAGTCTTAATACCTACCCACCTACGAAACTTTAAAATTGGCTGTACAGTTGTATTTATTAGATGGCATAATATTTAAGGTCTGAGAATTTTTTGAAAGATATTAGAACTTAAGGAAGGAAGGGTTTGAAATACAAAAGGGGAAATTCAAAATCAAAATAAATAAATGTTTATTTAAATGTCAATAATACATGTGAACTTCATTAATTATTAAACATTTCATGCACTTATGAATAAAAGTTGTTAGTTTTTCTCATTTTGGAGAAACTTTCAAGAATTCATGTGATCGCTGAAGTATTTCAGTAAATAAATCATTCATAGGCAAATAATTTCAGAAGGAAAATTTAAATAATAATTTTCAAGTTTTTGTTTGTTTTTTGTTTTTTGAGACAGAGTCTCACTATGTAGTTCAGACTGACTAGAACTCACTGTGTAGCCCAGGTTGGTCTCAAACTCACAGTAATCCTCCTGCCTGAGCCTCCCAATGCTGGGAATGCAGGGGTGCACCACCACGCCCTGCGGGCATTTTCAAGGTTTTAAACAGCAAACAAAAACATTACTGGATATAGGATGCAATTTAATACGTACATATTAAGTATTATATGGAGACGGCTCAAGAAAAGTCCTCTCCCCATCCCCCAAACATTAAATGAAGCAGAAAGAATGTTGTAGGGTTTTTTTTTTAACATGCACGTAAATACTGAATTCTGACTTAAGCAATCCACTAATGAAACAGTTTTTGACATGGAGCCTTTGGATCAAGGAAGAGGTAGAAGTAATTGCTGAAAATTTCTTCCACCCTTATGAACTGCAAATGTCTAACAAGTAAAGAGCTGAGGTTTGACCAGACCCTGTAAGGGTCAGTTTAGTGATTATCAGAGTGCTTGGTACTGGTAATGGCGGGGACAGTCCAGTCCGTCTGTGAGAACTACACCTCAGCCCTCAGATTGACATGAATGGTTCACTCCAACTTCCTGTCCAGTGGTTTATTCGGCTCAAAATTTTTCCAGCAGGGGGCGCTATTGAGATGCCAGAAGCTGCGCAACAGCAATCAGTCAGCACAATGAACAGTCTCTGGGCCTCAACAGAGGGGAAAAAATCACTAGAAGCTACGAGACGTGACAACTTCTTACATATCCCATGGCTCAGCCTGGATGGCTGTCTGGAGAAAGCAGGTATGGCTGAGTCTGGGCAGATGACGTGCAGTGTACTCGCTCCAACCCCGCATGCTCTCTCAGGGGTGCACCCTCAATTCAAGAAAAGGAACATCGGGGAGCAACAGTCTTCTGGAGCTCAAGAAGTACATTTGAAATCAATAACACCGAACCGCTATCAAAAGGACCCAGAGAAATGCATGGTTTTTCATGCTCCCGAGGGCTTTATGGGCTAAAAAAGCTTCAGAGACTTGCTATGATTTTATAATCCCCTCCTCACCTCCTTTTAAGACAATCTTGCTGTGTAGTTCAAGCTGCCCTTTAACTTACGATATGGCCCAGGCTGGCCTTGAACTCACAGCAGTTGTCCTGCCTCATCTCCTCCGAGGCTCGGTTTACCGGCATGCGCCACCACACCCAGCAATTTTACCATTTTTTGTACTCAAAACTCAGGTCGTCTTATCACAGAGAGTCAACATCTGCCTGTCCACTGATTAGTATCACAGATGTGACTTTACACAGCTGTCTGTCTCCCAAGGCTGACTGCAGCAGGACCAACAATAGCAGCTATGGAGTTTGTCCCCCACAGTTACTCATGAAAACCAATGGAGGATCAAGAAGAGGCTCGGTTAAGTTTATTTTCTAAACAATGAGATGACTTTCACACACACACATAATTCACACCAATCTCTCTGTTTCCCCATCCCTTGCCCTTCCGCCCTGACCCCATGTCTCTTACCCCTCGTCATTCTAAAATCAGCAAAATGATTTAAGAGAAGGGAATGGTGTGGTTACTTAACAACAGACAAATTACTAAACCCTTACCCCTTAACTATGTGCAGGGATAATAAAAATCTCTTTAATGGAATTGTAAGCTGATTCATTGAGATCATTCACAAAATCTTGGCACCTAATAGAAAAGCAACAAATAATATCTGTCATTATTTTCATTGTGCAAGGCTCTTGGTCAAAATCCTTACAAATAAATGTAAATCTAACATTTGTAAATCAGACAGCGAAGAAGATTTGATCTGAATGTTGGGGAAAATGGTATATGACAAAATAGTTTAATGCCTTCCTGTAAATAATTAGTGGGCTCAGTGAGTTTTTTGGTTTTTGTTTTTTGTTTTGTTTGGTTTGGTTGGTTGGTTGGTTTTTTTGGTACCAGGGATTGAACTCAGGACCTTGCACTTGCAAGTCAGGCGGTGGCACCACTGAGCTCATTCCCCAGCCCTGGTTTTGGTTTTTGAGGTGTGTCTTAGTCTGTTTGGCCAGTCCAAGCAACTTAGCAAGACTCCGTCAAAGGAAGAAGGAAGGGGAGATGAAGGAAGGAGGGAAGGAAGGAAATTATATTTTTACCTTCAATTAATTGATAATGGAGAAAGAACAGTATGGTGACCATTTTTCCCTTTATCATCTTCTATAAATCTATAAAATTGCAAAGCCTATCAGTTTATTTTCCACTCTTTCTGACCTAATATTCCTGTCCTCAAGAAAACTGGAAGGAAGGAAGAACTGGAAAGGTTAGAGGAAAAGGAGAGGAAATAAAAGGAAGTGTAGAAAAATCTAGCTTTCTGTGGGACTTCTTCATTCTTCTCCTATTCATTGAAAGGAAAATATCATTAACAAATTGACAGAAGCAATAACCAAGAGGAGTTAATCTCCTTGTCTTAGAAATTCAGTATAATAGGAGAATACGCAGAGACTGAAGAAGTGTGAAGCTGAGAGGAAAATTTCAGGACTCAACAGACCCATAGATCTTTCAGTCCCCAAAGACACAAGGAGAGAGAGGGAGATACAAATTATAGCCAAAGTAGCAAGGGAAAAAAAGCAAGGTAATATGTAGAATTCTTCTATAAGCTGTAACTTTTGTTTCTTTTTTTATTAGTCTACGATTGCAACACATAAAAGTTGCATCCACCTTGAGGAAGTGATACGTATTGAATGTTGATCAAATTTATTCTTTCTTCCTCCTCACCCTTTCCTTTCCCTCCTTCCCTAGATCTCATCTCCAGCTCTGTCTCCCTGCTCCTTATGATCTACCTTTTATTCTGTTCTTTACCTATATTTTGGGGTTCTCATACTAGAGAAACCCTGTGGTAGTTAACCTGCTGTATCTGATTTATCTCACTTAACATTATGGCTTCACCGTGCATTCATTTTCTCACAAATGACTCCAGTTTATCCTTTTAAAGCTGAATAATACTCCATTTTGTATATAAGCTGTGTTTTCTCTATCTAGGCATCCATCAATGGAGACTTTCATAAGTTAGTTATTGTGAATCGTGCTGCTTACTATTAGCAGGGATATGCATGCATTTCTGTAATGTGTGAACTTTGACTCTTTTAGAAAGATAACCAGAAGATCGACAGCTGGCTCGAATTGAATTTTTAGTTTTAGTTTTTTGAGGAATTCCATACAGATTTCCATAGTGGTTGAACTAGTTTATGTTCCCATCAGTGATGTAGAAAGCTTTCTTTTTCATCCCTCAACCTATCCAGTATTGATTGTGTTTTGAGTTCTTGGTTAATAGCCATTCTTACCAGGGTAAAATGAAATCAGTGTTGTTTTGACTTGCATTTCTCTGTTAACCAAAGTTGCTGAACAATTTTTCATGTGAAGCACTTGTGGACTATTTGAACTTCCTCTTTGGATAAGTGTCTCTTCATTTTAATTGCTAATATTTTGAGTAGCTGCAAGATAATTTGATTGGTAAGAGACCCTTAAAGTCTAGATAATTTTTCCATTGTCCTAGCCCAGCAATTCTTTTAGTTCAGTAAGCATTTCTCTGGATTTAAAGGCAACTGTTCACCATCCTTGAGTTTAAATACACTTTATTCATTCTACTGAAACAGTAGGAACTCTCCTTCTACAGAAAGGTGAACTAATTTTTCACTAACATTGATTAGTAACTTATTTCTTCCAGGTCCTTAATATTCTGAAAAAGAGTTAAGACCTTCCTTCCTCAAAAATAGTAAGTACAGGAGTCAGAAGATTCATCTTGTTTTTAGGACAAAAACTGAAAGGAAAAAACCAAACCACACAAGTGCCCGTTTTTTCTTATACACCCTTCTACACCACTCCTGCTCTGCTTTTCTCTTCCTGCTACTTTTCATTTAGCTATTCCATATCTAGCCAAGCAGGAGTCCTAGCATTTTCTTGAATTTCTACAAATCTACCCCCCTGAATTCGAACTGTTCTTTGCTGACACAGTTCAAATGCATGTTGATAAAAAGAGACGCGTTTCTAAAATAATGAGGTTTGAACCTGGAAGTTTGAGGGAGTCATTTAACATTTCTGAATTCTAATTTCATCATCAAAGAGCAGCAGCAAAATGAACATCTCATAACATTGGGCAGTACATTAGCCAGTGATTCTTTAACAAGTTCCCAGAAATAGTGGGTTTCAAAGGCTGTGCACGTGCAGCACTAATATAAAAATCATGTATCACTGTTCTCAGAGTCAGAAAGAACCTGTGAGCCAAAA